AACTAAGTAGAAAATCAAACACGGCGGTAAGTTTGGGTAAAGTTGACGCCGAACCGATAGATCCCCGGCAACCACCGGTCCTAATTCCATAGAACACTCTTCACACTGAAATTGATACTAAACATTTTACACTAAGCAGATTTTGATACCTTTGATTTGTCTTCGTTGTTTTATTGTTCTGTACGTAAAACTACATCGTTAGAGAATAAAGGTGGAAAGCGTAGAACTAGAAGTTTCAGTAGATTTGTTAGAGAATAAGAGCTAAGTATGTTGGTAAAGCACCTGGCTCACCCCAGCCATGTATGGTTCTAAAAGCATAAATCTAGAACTTTCACAAGATTCAAAGAAAATAACAGTTAAAATCCAGTTGGGCATTAAAAGCGTAAAACTAGCATGAGTAGCATCTTCAGAGAAGAAGGGCTGAAAGTCTGTTAAGTTTTAAATTACATTTTTCAATTAGCTTTGATTATTTGGAGGTCGTGAGTTGCGGTTTGGTGTGACGTAGGTTTTATCGTGCCAACGTTTCGATCTTTATTGAGATCATCTTCAGGGCTCAAACTGTTTGTTTTCCGTGTAGATTTGTATTCTAGTCTGTCGTGTTTTCAGTAGCTTTGTTAGAGAAGAGGCACATCTAAGAAATACACTTGCTTGTTATTAAAAAAAGTTACAAATCTATAGGGCGAATAGTGTTAGGCGTACTTCCTTAAGAGGTGATAGGTAAAGATGGTTGTAAAAGATTAGATCTACAAGTTTCAGCAGTTTCTTCAGTAAAGACGAAGTAAAAGTCTTTTGGGTATAAGCATAGGGTTTGAAGCTTCCGTTACAGAATAAGGGTTGAAATCCTGTTGGGTATGAAAAGCGTAGAGCTAGAAGTTCGAACATCTTTGTTAAAAAAGAAGGGTTAACTAAGCATGTTGAGTATTAAAATAACAGGAATTTAAGTTTGAGAAGCTTCTTAGTTACAGAATAAAGGTTGAAATCGTTTTGAGTTTCTAAAGCATAGACCTACAAGTTTCACTAGCTTCTTTAGAAAAGAAAGTTTAAAAGTGTGTTTTTTAAAGCCTAGGGTGTACGTTTCGTAGTTTCATCAGGAAAGACGAGGTAAAAGCCTGCTGTATATTAAAAGCATAAATCTAAACGCTTCTATAGCTATATTTAAGGTTTTAAAAGCATAGAGCAAGAGGTTTCAGTAACTTCATTAGGGAAGAAAGTTAAAAGTTTGTTTTGAGGAATAGGTTACAAGTTTCAGCAGTTTCGTCAAAAAAGGAAGGATGAAAGCCTTTCATTAAGCTCTAAAGGTCTAAATCTGTTGGGTATTAAAAGCATAGAGCTGCTGTAAATAAGTTCCATCAACTTCGTTAGAGAAGAAGGGCTAAGGGTGTTGAGTATTAAAATCATATAGATTGGCAATTCACTAATTTCGTCGGTAAAGAAGAGATGAGGCTGCAAACCTTTTGGTTTTTAAAAGCATAAAGCTAGCCGTTTCAGTGGTTTGATTTCGATGTAAAGTATTTACGATTAAAAAGAAAAAGGATTAGGCATTCATTATAGAAACAGCTAAGCGCTTTCATATAGGTTCTGCGACTATATTACACAGGATTAAGCAAATTGAGCCTAGTCAGAAAAGTAAGGATGAAAGCCTGTTGTACGCTAGAAGCTTCAGTAGCTTGTTTAGAGAATATGGGTTAAAAGCCTGTTCGATTTTAAAAGTATAGAACTAGAAGTGCTAAGCCTGTTTCGTATGAAAATTATTAGGAATGAAGGTCCGTTAGAGAATATGGGTAGAAAACCTTTTGTGTTTTTAAAGCACAGACCTAAGGGTTTCACTACCTTCTTTAACAAAGAAAGTTTAAAAGCGTGTTTTTAAAGACGTTCTAGTAGTTTCGTCAGTAAAGAGGAGGTGAAAGCCTGTTGTGTATTAAAAGAATAAATCTAGACGCTTCCGTTAGCTTCTTTAAGGAATATGGATTCAAAGCCTGTTGTGTACTAAAAGCCTAGGGCTAGAAGTTCCAGCAGATTCTTTAGAGAAGAAGGATTAAAGGGCTGTCGGTGGCCTCAACAGTTAAGGTGTTGACACGGTATACACAACTGTAAGGTACAGGTCCAGGGTTCGAATCCAGCGGTTCTGCATTCGAATCGGACACAATAATTTTTTTAAACACCGATAACACGAGGATTGATATAACCTCTGCTGTAGAGAACCCTCTTAAAAAAAATATTATTGGGCATGAAACTTCAGTAGCTTTTTTGGAGAATATGGGTTGAAAACCTGTTGGGTGTTAAAAGCTTCTACAAGAACTAAAAGTGCTAAGTATGTTTCGTATGAAAATTATGGATATAGAACAAAAACTTTAGTAGCTTTTTAGAGAATAAAGGTTGAAAACCTTTTGAATTTTTAGAAGTTTCAAGTTCTTTAGAAGTTAGAAGTTCTTTAACAGAAGGTTAAGAACAGGATGTAAGATCCAATAGTTTAGTTCTGACAAGGAAGGGTGAAATCCTGTTGTGTGTTAAAAGCATAAAGCTGTAAGCTTCAGTAGCCTATTTCGAGAATATGGTTTGAAAGCCCGTTATGAATTAAAAGCATAAAGCTAAAAGATGCAGAAGCTCCGTTAAACAATATGTGTTAAAAAACCTGTTGGGTGTAAAAGCTTCTATGAGAGCTAAAAGTGCTAAGTCCGTTCCGAATTAAAATTATCGAGATATAGAACAAAGGAATGAAATTTTAGTAGCTTTTTTTAGAGAATAAGAGTTGAAAACCTTTTGGATTTTTAAAAGTTTCAAGTTCTTTAGAAGTTAGTTCTTTAATAGAAGGTTAAGCACAGGATATAAGATCCAATAGTTTCGTCAGAAAAGGAAGGATGAGACCCTGTTGTGTGTTAAAAGCATAAAGCTAGAAGCTGCAGAAGCTCCGTTAAAGAATATGAGTTAAAAAACCTCTTGGGTTTTAAAAGCTTCTACAAGAACTAGAAGTGCTAAGCCTGTTTCGTATTAAAATTATTGGGATTGAAACTTCAGCAGCTCCGTTAGAGAATATGGAAATGAACTTAAGTAGCTTTTTTGGAGAATATGGATTGAAAACCTGTTGGGTTTTAAAAGCATAGGACCAGAAGTGCTAAGCCTGTTTCAGATTAAAATTATTAGGATGGCAGCTTCAGTAGAATATGGGATTGAAACTTCAGTAGCTTTTTTAGAGAATATGGGTTGAAAACCTTACAAGCCTTTAGGGATAGAAGTTAACCGTAGTTCTTCAGAAAGTTTAAATGAACATGATAGAAGTTCCAATAGTTTCGTCAGACAAGGAAGGGTGAAATCCTTTGTGCGTTAAAAGCATAAAGCTAGAATCTGCAGAAGCTTCGTTTGAGAATATGGGTTGAAAACCTGTTGGCTTTTTTAAAAGCTTCTAAAAGTCCTAGAAGCGCTAAGCCTTTTTCGTATTATAATTTATTGGGATTGAAGCTTCAGTAGCTCCGTTAGAGAGTATGGAAATGAACTTCAGTAGCTTTTTTGGAGAATAAGGGTTGAAAACCTGTTGTGTTTTAAAAGCATAAAACCAGAAGTGCTAAGCCTGTTTCGTATAAAATTTATTGGTATGGAAACTTCAGTAGCTCCATTAGAGAATATGGGAATAAACTTAAGTAACTTTTTTAGAGAATATGTGTTGAAAAGCTTTTAAGTTTTTAGGGCTAGAGGTTAACAGTAGTTCTTATTATCAGAATGTTTAAATAGTTCTTATTATCAGAATGTTTAAATGAACAGGATAGAAGTTCCAATAGTTTCGTCAGACAAGGAAGGGTGAAATCCTGTTGTGTGTTAAAAGCATAAAGCTAGAAGCTTCAATAGCTTATTTCGAGAATATGGATTGAAAGCCTGTTATGAATTAAAAGCATAAAGCTAGAAGCTTCAGTAGCTTATTTAAAGAATATTTATTAATATCCTATTGTGTGTTAAAAGCGTAGAGCTAGAAATTCCACCAGCTTCGTTAGAGAATAAGGGCTAAATCTGTTTGGTATTAAAAGCCTTTCAGGCTCATCCCAGCGAAATTGGACAAGATGAAAATTTGTGAGACTCGTATGAAAGACCTCGGGCCGTATAAATATCAAGACGAATTTCGGCCACTTGGTTTGTTAGCCTATTAGGTTAGCTAAGACCTCGGTATTAGCAATTCAAATGATAATAGGCTCGATCTGAAAACGATGAAAACGTCCTTAAATCCGCGAACAGCTCGCCAAATCGTAATGAAAAGGGCCTTTTTGAATTGGAAATAATTACTATTTCGGTTCGATCGTGCAATGGGCGGCGATTAAAAAAAAAAAGAAAAAAAAAAAAGTAGCGATCGAGAGTATGGCACATACGACACGATCACCATGTCAATTTAAGCACGAATTTTGCGAAAATCCTGCGTCATTATTTTAAAAAAGACGGCGATTGTCGACGTCCTCGCATCTAGCTTCCGTACAAATGGGACCAATTAATGAATCACATTTGATTTTTTTTAAATTAGAATATCTGAATCAAAGCATTTTATGTTAGAGATTAGATAAAGTTTGTAAAAATTTGAATATAAAAATATCTAGAGTTAGTTATTGCTGTGTTGTCGAGTTGGTAGACTCTAGCGAGCTGGAGTTCGCCCTTCTGAACAAGCGTAAAACGAGCATAGTTTTGCAAATATTATTCTGTTATTATATACTGTTTAATTTTTTATTTTGTCATTTTGGAGGTAAAATATATGTCGGTTGAATTGTTTTAATTTTTTTTTTCTTGGGATAAAACTATTGTGTTAAAATAATAGTTAAAACGAGCATTGGTGCATTGCGATCAGTGAGAGGCGAGCTGACAACATACACAAGAGTTGGAGAGAGAGTAGGCGGTGATAGCCTGATAACTTATCACAGAGCTGATAAATCGTACTGCTCCCAAACCGAGTCGATAGCCTAATCCCAAGTAATTCTTAAAATATTCAGCTTTTATTTTCCGTCGTACTGGATGAGAGGTTGATTTACCTTGGCGACTTGAAAATTCTCCGGCCTGAGGGTCTCGACGATCTCCTGGTCGTTTCGGGGCTGCTGGGACACGGAGGACCTGAGCCCGTCCAAGACGCCTTTGAAGGTGAACTTCTTCATGGTTTACGTTGACTCGAGATCCATTCAAATCCTCGTTTCCTCAGGGTCAACAGATCGGCGATGAGGAGAACGGATTCTCCAACATACTAAGCACAACAGGTACCACTGCCCGAACGGGAACTCTCGCCGAATTTGGATTGACGACCTTTTCCGAACCCGCTGTCGGCCCTTTTACGATTAATTTATCCCCCCGACTCTGCTTCCGAGAGGAGTGCCTTTGACTGTCTCTAAAAACTGTTGATCAATAACTTGCTACGCTCGTGCAAACAGCTGGAATGACAGTGGTCTTCTTTTCACTCGGCCTGTTTCCAGGCGCTGCCGTAGAGCTCACTAGTAAACGGGCTCATCGTTAAGTTCGACAGGGGACACGTCGCAACCGATTTTGGTCGGCCACGAACACGACGCGCCAGTCCAAATCCAAATTCGACGATTTTTCGATCTGTGGCCCTGTTTTAAAATGCTATTCCGATCGACGAGTCTTCTCGGCCTGGTCAGGCACGTCCTCCCAGCCTCAACAAAACGCAAGGCTTTGAGGTAACACTCGATTTTTCACAAAGTCTGCGTTTTTTTTGAAAAGATTCTTTTTTCGATAATTTATTGAAGGGTTTGTCCCGACACAAAACTGGACAGCTTCGTCAATCGACAGATGATTCGTAACGGTAGGTTTCGTCGTGGTTTGACAGCAGGTCGCGAACCGGCTAACCAGGGAAACTCAACCTCAGAATAATTAATTATGATAAAAACCACCAGATCCATCGTTCCAATTATTTTTGTTTACACAGAAGAAACGATTTATGATTTTTTTTATTATAAGACAAATATTTTAACATTCATTTTCCTTCCCAGCCGAATTAAATTATTTTTTTTTATAATTACATTTAAGTGTAATTATTCCTGTAATTATGTTTTCTTAATTTGTCTGCATAACATTAAAGATTAGTGATAAAAATGTATAAACAGATACTTAAGCACTGCTTGCTTGTTTTTTATTTATTTTTTTTAATATTTTTTTTTGCAGGCTAAATTTAAAAAGTAAGGAAGAATAATAAAAAGCCCTTATTATATTTTCATTCCCAGCCTGTTGGATGTTTAAAATTTCTATTATTACATTTTCCTATTTCTTAATTTGTATATTTTTATGTGCATAACAACGACGATTTATGATAAAAATTTATGAACAGATACTTAAACACTGCTTACTTGTTTTTTGTTTTGTTTTTGGAGTCTAAATTTAAGGGGTAAAGAAGAATGATAAAAAATAACAAAAACCCTTAAAACATTTTTATTCCCAGCCTAATGGATGTTTAAAATTTAAGTAATAGCATTTCCCTTTTTATTAATTTTTATCTGCATAACAATAAAGATTTGTGATAAAAACATATAAAAAATTTTTATCACAAATCAGTTCTTCACTGCTTACTTGTTTTTTATTTATTTTTTATATCTCTATTTGTAGGCTAAATTTAAGAAGTAAGAAAGAGTGATTAAATAAATTACAAGACTCTTAAAACATTTTCGTCCGTCTCTTCATTGTTTAAAATTTCTGAAATTTTATTTTTCTTTTTCTTAATTTTTACTGTATAACAACAAATATTTGTGATAAAAATTTATAAACAGATTTTTTTAAGGAGTACAGAAGTCTGATAAAAAAAAAATAACAAAAACCCTTAAAATATTTTTATTCCCAGCCTAATGGATGTTTAAAATTTCTAGAATAACATTTCCCTTTTTATTATTTTTGATCTGCATAACAATAACGATTTGTGATAAAAATATATAAACATTTTTTATCACAAATCAGTTCCTTAAGCACTGCTTACTTTTTTTTGTACCTTTATTTGTAGGCTAAATTTAAAAAGTAAGAAAATAAATTACAAAACTCTTAAAACATTTTCGTCCCAGTCTCTTGGTTGTTTAAAATTTCTATGATTTTATTTTTATTTTTCTTAATTTTTTACTGTATAACAACAAATATTTGTGATAAAAATTTATAAAAAGATGTTTTTTTGGGACAAATTTAAGAACGAAAAATAAGAAGGAATGATTATTTTAAAAAAAGACCTCAAAACATTTTCCTCCTCAACAGTAGGACGTTTAAAATTTCATTAATTAAATTTTTTTATCTACATACCAACAGTGATTTCAGATAAAAATTTATAAACAGATACTTAAGCACTGTTTACTTAATATAAACAGGATGTTTAAAATTACAATAATCAAATTTTCCTTTTTCTTTGTTTTTATATGCATAAGAACAGAAATTTGTTATTAAAATTGATGCACCTTAACCACTGCTTACTTTATTTTTTTTTATTTGTAGTCTAAATTAAAGTTTTTTTATTTCCTACCGATTGGATGATTAAAATTTTATTACTTAAATTTTAATTTGTATATTAATAGCAAAAATGTTATCATCTATGGGAAAAGCAGCAATTCAATCCAAAATTTACAAAATTGTGCCTAGCTCGTAAAATCCTTACTTATAAATACTGCATAAAGAAAGAAAACACTGCTAATAGTTGATGCTTTTACATAGCATCAAATCAAAACTTCTTGGTTGAAACTGATGACCTTACTTCACGGCAAATTTTTCCAAGCTCCAGTTTTCCACCACAACTTTAACACAACAAATTTAAATAATTGTGTTGGGTCTTCAAACATAAAAAATCAAAAATACCTAGCTGATACATTATTTCCTAATGCGCATTTTTAGAAGATTCATTAATAAACCCTAAAGTTGATTGTGCTTTTTACCACCCTAAGCTTAATGGCCAGGAAAAATATGATCTTTCTGTTCAATTAACGGAATTTTTGGGTGAATTAAATGCTATTAAGTAGGTAGCAAAATATGCTAAAATGTTTAATCCATGGTAATATGCACTGACATTCTGAGTATGATCTTTAATATGACAAATTTTAAGTTTAACTGAAGAAATCAACAAGCAGGATATATGACACTCCTCTGGTCATACCAATACCAATATCAGATATGAGGTCAATCTGTCTGTCGACCTTAAAACCCAAATATGTTTTAATTGACCAAGGTCATACACCATTTGATGATGACTATGCTCAACGTTGGGTAGAGAAAGAGCCATCATCACTATTTGAAACATGTGGAACCTACAAAATTTAAACTGCACAATAAGAAATTGTACAAAATACAAAGAAGAAAAGGAAATCATCTATACAGCCATTATCAGCACTGATCTGACAACTATATCTTGTACTAAATACTAGTGATAGCTGTTGATAAAAAAAAATTTTCAATTCAATGGGGTTTTTAAGTTCCTTAAAACCATAAAAGTGAGAATATAAAAAATTAATAGAATATTGCCCAAATATGGAAATCATGTTGGAAAAATTGAATGAACATTGAAATAATGGTTAAATCCATAATTTAATTTAATAATGGTTAAAAAAAATTGACGATGGTAGTCACTTATAACTTTAAAAATATAACGTAATCTTATTACATATTAATGCAATAATGAGTATTTATTAAATAATTTTTCACTGAATAAATACTCTTGGTTCAATTTCAATCATTTGCACGTCAAATTTTTAATTTCAAATTTCCCACAAATTGAGCATTACTATAATTATGTTATTTATTCGTGTTTTTTTGTAACACAGGTATACAGGATGTGCCATAGGAGCAGTTGTGATTGGGTATGCATTTTCTGACAAAGCTGAAATGAAGGCAAAGCCGTTTATTGATGTCAGTAGGTTTATGGCAGAGCCAATCACAAGTGTAGAGACACTGAATGCCACGAAGAATGATATGAGAACAAAAATGGAACTATTAATTATGCAAATTCAAGTAATATACTATTAGTAATAGTATGTACTAGAAATATGTAAAGCTCTGAATGTTTACAGAATGATCTTTGTAAAGCTTTGGAAGCCGAAGAAGATCCAGATTACAAATTCATAGTCGACAGGTGGACAAGAAAAGAAGGTGGTGGAGGGATCACTTGTGTCCTGCAAGACGGACATGTATTAGAAAAAGCCGGAGTCAACATTTCAGTTGTTACCGGTTTACTACCCCCAGAGGCTATAAGACAAATGAAATCAAGGTTTCTTGAGACAGATTTATTTATTTATTTTTTTATTATAATAACTATTTATTTTTCATTGAAGAGGTAAAGATTTTGGTGGTGAAGAGAAATTGCCATTCTTTGCTGCAGGTGTGAGTGCTGTCATTCACCCTAGAAATCCGATGGTCCCTACGGTGCATTTCAACTATCGATATTTTGAAGTATCAGATTCTAAAGGGAACAAACAAGTAATATTAAAAATGTAATTATTTTGAAATCCGATATTTTAATTTAAAACAAATCTATTGAAAGTGGTGGTTCGGGGGTGGTACTGATTTAACACCTTATTATCTCAATGAAGACGATGCGAAGCATTTTCATTCGACCCTTAAATCCGCCTGTGATCAGCATGACAGAAGTTATTACCCCAAATTCAAAAAATGGTGTGATGATTATTTCACAATTACTCATAGAGGTAACTAACTCTGCTCAGATAATCACAAAAAACGCCCACATTTTATCGATGAAATTTAAAGGGGAGAAAAGGGGAATCGGTGGAATATTTTTCGACGATCTGGACAGCCCATCACAAGATAAAGCATTTGAATTTGTCAAATCCTGTGCGCATTCAGTAATTCCATCATATATTCCATTGCGTAAATATTACATATATCACTGATGAAACCTTGATGAAATTAATGTTTATATAATATTTTAGTGAAAAAACATAAAGAAGAAGCTTATGGCTACTTTGAAAGAAATTGGCAATTGTTGAGAAGAGGTCGATATGTTGAATTCAATCTCATTTACGATAGAGGGACCAAATTTGGACTTTACACACCCGGTGCAAGATACGAGTCGATTTTGATGTCCCTTCCTTCAACTGCTGTCAGTCTATAAGTAACATTTTTTCATTCCCAGCATTGTATTAATTCAATATTAAATTTCAGAATTGGGCATACATGCACAACCCAAAGGAGGGGTCTGAAGAGGCGAAACTAATGGAAGTGTTGAAAAATCCAAAAGACTGGCTTAAAACTGAAAAACAAATATGAAATCAATTATGGTGTCAGTAACAGTGTGTCTTTTCTCTTGACCTGTTTTTTAATGTAAATAATACAATATGAAATGTGTATGTTTTAAACTTTGTTAAAATTAAATTAAAAATTAGATATATCATGCGATTTACTCTCTGCCTTTTATTCATTGTGAAACCAATTTTGGAATTTTCTTTCTAAACTCTTTTTTAATAATACTAAATATAATGGTTGTTCTACAGATAGGCCAATATTGGTTGTGGTGCATAAGGTCTTAAAGAGACTCCTTTTAACCTTAACATAACATATATTCTAACTGGGTCAGCTCTTGGAAGTGAAGTCTGTCGCAGTGAAAATAACGAGAAGCCAAATGGGCATGACCAGACCAAAACTATTGGAAACCCCCAAAATTATTATAATAGAGAGCAATTAATCTTTAATAAAAAAGGCTTCTTCTGGTGTTCCCCAAGGGGCTCATCTTTCTCCGATCTTATTTAATATTTTCATGTACAACCTATTTCCATTCTAAAGTACTCAACTACTCTTCTCTTTGCTGACGATTTAAAAAATTTATGCCATTCTACAAACTATAGTAAAAATGCTATTGACAGTACGATTAGTTCAGCTAATAACTTTCGATATCTTATTATTTTCAATTGTTCTTTTTCTTCATTTTACAGTAAAGTTTGCAGATATGTTAAATCTTAAATTATTTTGTATATTTTCATAATTTTTATAACAATAGTTCATATAATTTATTTAACTTGCACTTCTGTACATGTATGTACATTTAGATATTTCCATATTTAACTCTTTTTTTACGAGGGTATTTCAACTACAAAGTTATATGAACCTTCGGGTCCCAATATTTTTGAAAAAAAAAATTGTATGTCTGGTTCTAATGCAGGGCTGCTGGATTACCTGGGACCTTCACCCTTACGGCTATGACCACTGTGTCAATGCTTAAACCATTGTGGCCATCAACGCCCCTAAACATTTAACTTATATCATTTCTACTTAACATTTTAACTGAATATAATTTATATTTAAATATAATATAAAGTTTACACAAAACTCCTTTACATATTGTTTAATAGTTGAAGTTGTTTTCTTAGTTTTGCTTTTTATATTATTATGTTTTATGTAGTGTATATTTCTGTATTTAAACATTTTTATAAATTGGATTAATTCCATAAAACATATATTATAATTATTTTCACAAGTCCATTGCCCAAGAGGGAATCTCAAAAAATAACTAGATACATTTGATATCAAAATAACTTTCTGCAAGCAATATCTTGAAAAATCAACAGCTGATAATTGTTTATTCTTTACTAGTCTGTAAAGGCCCAGAGACCAGACAGATGCTACTTTATAAGAAGGAAGCCAGGAAAGGAAGAAAAATAACAAAATAAAAATAGATGTATGGACTGCATAGCTATGAAAGCTGGGGATGTAAAGTTCAAGAAAAAGTCTGATAGCAATAGACTTCTTTCAATAGGGCTTTCTGTGATGAAAAACAACTACTAATGAACAAATTATGCAAAAGAAATTTATTATAGACATTTAACATGTAAATAGTTTTCCCTATATAATAGCTATTTGTATTTGCATTAAAATTTTGCGAACCCTGGTTCAAGGTATGGTCTTGAAGAAAGCAAATTCAGTTGGTACTGCCAAGTTTTCGACATATTTTAAGGTCATCATCAGGACAAAACAATCTTAAATATTCACTAGTTTTCGTGGTCCACTTGACCAATTAATAGCTTTCAATTAATTAAGGTTTTTAGTTGAGATAAAAAAGTCAGTGTCCCGAGCGGGAATCGAACCCATGACATTTGGCTAGATACGCTGCTGCTCTACCACTTGAGCTATCGTGACTTTGTGGACTAGAAGTCATGATAGCTCAAGTGGTAGAGCAACGGCGTATCTAGCCGAAGGTCATGGGTTTGAATCCCACTCGTGACACTTTTTTATCTCAACTAAAAGCCTTAATCTTAAATATTTTTTCAGATTGACTGAAGAGTAAGTCTTCAAGGAAATTTGAGATCACCTGTAAAACATTTTAATAAGTCAATCTGTAGGCATATTTAAAATTGTTTTAACCTGATGATGACCTTAAAATACTTCGAAAAATATGCAGTAACAACTGAATTTGCTTTCTCCTTCAAGTCCATACTTATATCCAGAGTGTTCGTGATTGAAAAAATTGTCTATATTTCTAATATTGAAATTAAAATTTTGATTTCCCGGTTTTTAAGTTCTGCCGACGAATCGATTTCAGAGGATGAAATTATCTCGAAATCTGTGTAAAATAATAATCGTCCATTCGGTATTTGCGTTTGTCTTAAATACGTCTCGTCACAAATAAAACCCATTTTGTAGAAAGAACGTTTTTTAAGTGTGAACTCGTCCATTTGTCGTTGTCAGATGAATTCTTTTGACAGGAGTCCTGTCAGCTGATCACCGATCCATTACCTGACAAATGCACTTAATTGCATCTGTCACAGTAGACTTAAATTATTTCTTATTCTTTGACATTATTTTAAAATCTAGCATTTAACACGAAGTCAGTAGGAGCACAATTCATTTTCAACCATTGGACGAATTTCAGATGTTAGGATTCAGATATTTTCACAATGTTAAATCATACCTATTGTAGATAATATAAACAAAGAGTGTAAAGTTGTTTTTTTTATTATTACTTATTTTTATTCCGGTTCGAAGAGAGTAGCCAATTTAAATTTAAGTGCCTTTGTACAACAACGGAAATTAAATATACTAGCATGGTGTCAAAATAAACGTTTAATATGCCACGAGTAAACTCAGTGACTAAACTGATAACCCAAAGGGAATACGATGTACGTACGGATTTTAATGTTTTCCCCATTGGAACGGTTTTTATTGTTTAATATTTTTTCTTTTTGTAGTCAACTCTATGTCGCCCTTTACAAAAACGTCTTCACGTTACGAGCAGCCTTGTGGCCCGTCTCGGGCTGGAAAAGGAACTCCATGGGCATACAGGCTGTGTCAACTGCCTCGAATGGGATTCCAAAGGAAGGTAAGCTCGATTCTTAACTCGTCTAAACCCACTTCCAAGGGATTTATGAGTTCGACCTTCCGTTCTGTAGAAAACTGGCCTCTGCCTCGGACGACTTCCATGTCATCATTTGGGACCCTTTCTTGTACAAGTGTGAGCAGAAGTTCTCAACGGGACACCATGGCAACATATTTTCCGTTAAGGTGAGAGCCGCGTTTCGTTGTCTTTCGTACGGGATGTCTTACATGATCATGACAATTAAGTCAATGTCTTAATTTATATGCACTGTACATCATAATCACACCTTATGTCTAGGTATATATTTCAAGCTAAAGTCCATACAACATATCAATCCCTGGGGGGGGGCTGGTATTTTTAATAAAAAGGTCGTTTGTAAGTACGTTAGATTCTAATTCAGAGATGCTGAGATTCAAACATGGGCCTACAGTGATGAGTCAACCATTCTGGCTATTGACCACTGACAGATCCTGAACTCTTCTGTGTCATCAGTATTGATACAATCTATATACTTCATCGTAGAAGAGAAGAGTCAGATGACAAACTATGGGAATCTCACTGGGCACAAGCAATTATAAGGAAGACATTTCAGAATGCATCATGAAAGACTGAATCACAATTTGTCTTTATCTTACAGACGCAAAGGGTTATAAGGGGCAGAGGAAAATCTGTCTATCTATTACATAAACTCCTGTAATCATTATCAATCATTCAGTGAGATCTCTTGGATTCAATTCATGACCATTAGGTCTTAATTTATATGCACTGTGCAACATAATCACACCCAACATGAGAGCACCTCTTTCAAAATGAAGTCCATTGCAACAGTACAGGTCATATCAGCCAACCCCCGGGATGCTGGTGTTTTTGATAAAACAGACATTTGTAGTTATGTTGGGTTCAAATTGGGGGCTGCTGAGTTGAAAGTGATGAGTCCTAAATGTCAACTTTGTAACAATTGGGCCACTGGCGCCCCTTACCACTGATCCTGAACCCTTCTGTGGGATTGGAATTGATACTATCAGTGTACTGGATCATAGAAGTGAAGCAATGGCAAAACAATGAAAATCTCTCATTGGACACAAACCGTTCTAGAAAATAAATTATAGAATGCATCATAGGAAGCAGGAGAAGACTCTGTCAATATGGAGTTTTCTGGCTCCTTTGGCTTTGTTCCGTACTGCAGAAAATGAATCATCGGGGACTTCAACCTATACCATCACATAATGTGGACTGCACTACATGTCCTACATAAAATCCAATGCAATTTTAAAGAATCTGGGCAAAATGAAATTATTTATGCGCTGCATACCATGATCACCTCTAATATCTAGGTATATATTTCTTGCTGAAGACTATGCAGTTAAGAAATGTTCTTAATTCAATCTATACAGGGTATAAAAAAAACAGTGGCATAGAGTACTGCAGTGGCCAAGCAGCCAGCAGCCATCAGAGCACTGAAGTAGAACTTTGTCAGCTTGAAGATGGGTCAAAACTGGGTTCCAGCAAGAGTTGTGGGAAACAAAAAAGCAGATGACCTTGTAAAAAAAGAGCTATTAGACTGCACTTGAACCTTTTTGTCAGGGTAAAATTTCATAAAATCAACCATTAGAAAAGAGGATATGGTGAAATTGAAGAAACCATGGGAATTATCTTACAGGAACTCCATTCAAATCAAATGGGTGACCTTAAATTATTTATGCACTGTATATCATGCTCACTTTTAACGATGCAAGCTGAAGTCAATGCAATGGAAAGTTGCACTTAATCAGTTTGAACAAAGAATACAATAAATGACTTGCCAAGTCTTGACATTAAAATCATCAGCTCAAAGATAGTTCCGAATTGCAAAAATAAATAAGTTAGGCATGATAAAATCTATTTGGTCCTAGGTATGCAGAGGTTGAGGGTAATGAAAAGGCAGATCCTCTTGCAAGACCACTGAAAGATTTTTTTGTAGGGATTCCCAACAGCAGAGGTCATACGATCCCTGGTCTGAATTCGATCCCAGGATCCTTATACTGATCAGTCACCATCTCCATGATCTGATCAACCCTGCCATTGGCAGATCCTTCCATGGCTTCTGTAGGATCAGAATTCATACTAGAATAAAATCTTTTCATTCATGTTAGAAGAGAAGGGCTAGTGTGAAATCAATTCAAGAATCTCTTGGCAAGATTTGTAAGGAAAGAAATTACAGAATGCCTCGGAGGTAGTAGGAAGAGAACCTTAATTTTAATTTGACTCTTATCTTGGAAATTCATTATTTTTTTCTTGACAAGACTCTGCAGTCAGACGAAGGCAAAATATGATATTAACCCCTGTAATCATCATCAATCAAAGGCCTAGGTCATATTAGTTCAATTTTCAAGTTATAGTAGATATTGCAATCCTATAATAATGGTTTTGTGTTGAATGTTTGCCATTTTTTTCTAAGGAATTGATTTAGGATAGTCAGTCATATTTTACAACAAATGATACAGGCCTGAATACAGGTGGAAATATTGCTATTGGTGAATTTTTAGTTCTTTCATTTTTGCACCTTGGTTGTTTCTGCTTATTTTTGTCTGCCCGTCCTCACTGTTTTGGTCTTGCAGTCATATTTTGGCTATAGTGTTAGGTCAATGAGATGATCGGAAATGATCAACATCCAAATTCATCACCAGGCATATTCAAGAAATCTCACAATTTTCTCAGTTTTAGTTCATAGATTATACAGTTTTTTTCACATATGAAAAGTTCCTCTTTTCGCGCACATCGACCTTAAAGTCCGCTGTGCCAATTGAACTAGGCACCTGTTATAACTGACATTTCTTTTCTAAACTTTCAAGGAGTTTATTCAATCATCTGTTGCGATGAGACTTCCTTTATTCAGTACTTCTCACCTGCTTTACAAAAAGTATCTTTTATTGTCTATATTTTCATCCCTCGGAAGGGTTTGGGGTATTGCATGAGTAACTGCATGTTTATTTCCCTTAAATTTCTGTGGAATAAAGTGGAGAGTGACTGTTTTGCATTTCTCAAATTTTTAGTTTGAGCTTGCCATTCAAAACCGTCTTCAAGCTGAGTTTTATTTCGGTCTTCTGATCACTTTTTGGACGTCATAATTATTTGGAATACTTTAGGTTCAAATTCTCTATCACCACGATTCAAACTCTGAACTTTTCCAACTCTTTAACTATTGTGGCTGCTAAGAATTCCAAACTGAGTTATTAATCATATTATTATAATTTTAAATATTTTTTAATAGAAGACAAAAATTTTGTTTGAACTCTTCCGAATAAAAGATTTTCCTGTGTTGATAGAAATCTAACAAAATGTAACAAAAATATTTCTTTAGTTCATGCCGGACCATCACGATGACATCATTGTAACTGGTGCTGGCGATGATGAAGTCAGGGTCCATAACTTGGTATGTAAGGAAACAACTCGAGTCTGCTTGTGCCACGGGGGTAGAATCAAGAGACTTGCCATTGCACCAGATTCGCCAGACCTATTTTGGAGTGCTGCAGAAGATGGTATAATTCGACAGTTCGACCTCCGAGTCAAGCACAATTGCTCAAAAAATGAAAAGAATGTACTGATCGATCTTAATAGTTATGTGGGTGAGCACGTCGAGGCTAAATGTCTGGCCATCAATCCACTCAGATCTGAACTCATCGCTGTCGGAGCAAGTGATCCATATATTCGTATTTATGATAGACGAATGATTTCACCAATTAAGGTTTGTCTTTGAATTAATGGGCATTAAAAATTTCTAGTCACTAAACTTAACTTGCCCTTAAAGGAGCCGAGTTCCAACCCGAACAACTCACATCCAAATGAAGACAATCTCCCTTCTGGATGTGTTCAATACTTTGTTCCAGGTAAACAACTACCATTGTTAATTGTTTAGTCAGTTGTACATTTATTTTTAAAAAAATGTATTTTAAAGGTCACGTTCCCTGCAAGCGATTCTTCACAGCTAAAGAATTTAGTGCAACATATGTGACATTCGGCCCCAATGGGAAAGATCTATTGGTTAACCTTGGCAACGAACATATTTATCTTTTCGATATCAACGCCAAGTCGAGAAGTCTTCTGCTTCGAAATACAAACGATAATCAAGGTATTATAACAAACATTTAGCCATAACTAAAAAAAAACAAAAAAAAAAAAACGCAAAATTACTCAACTCTCATATTTACAAAACTGTAAAGTATTAAGAAATTATTTTCTGTGAGTTTACAGTTTAATTGTACGGAATGAAAAAATTCACAGTGAAAACTACAATTAATTTGTATTTAATTTTAGAACTATCTGACCCTCTGAAGGGTTACTGTAATGGTTTTACCCCTGCGAAAGGTTCACTTCTTTTTTCAAGGCATAAACCTCAGCTACCAGATCACATAAACGCTTTAAAATTAGCAGTAAGTTGGCTGCGACGTATTAATATTAAATTCATGTTTATTCAATTACTCACACTCTTTTTGTAGGGGAATGCTTTGTTTGAAAAGGAACTGTATACAAGATCAATTAGAGTTTATAACGAAGCTATAGGAGAATATCCAAATAGTTCTGTGTTTTATTCCAATCGTGCTGCAGCATATATGAAAAGGGATTGGTAATGCACATTCCTTATATAAATTATTTTACCTTATTAAAATGTTAAAATTCAGTCTTAATATGATTTTTCTATTAAATAAGTTACACAAATAATATACATACTACTACTATAATAGACATAATAATTTTTGTCATTGGATGGAATTTGGACAAATGTACAGACAGAAATAGTAAGCTGTTTGGCGATAACTTATTGATGAATAGCATTTGTTTAACATTTTAATTTTGTTTACATTGAATATTTTTTTAGAAAAGATTCTGTCATAGATTACAAGCCATTAGTTAAATATTCATCTCATTGTATGTACTATTTCTAAACATTGAAATCATTTTCAGGTATGGAGATACTTATGCTGCATTACGAGACTGCATCGTTGCGCTTAGTTATGATCCTAACAATGTGAAGGCATTTTTTAGGTAAGACATTTTCAAATAATGAGTAATACCACAAAGTTAAACAAGATAGATCAGGTACAATTTTGAATATAAATGTTATTTAATTAGACCACGATCCCATGGTCAGGATAACTAAAACACGTAGTATTCATATAAGAAAACTATATAATAATTGTTTTTACAACATTAACAAATTGTAAGGTTAAAACCAAATGGATCGTTTATCAGACCAAACTGTCCTTTACCTGTACCAAAGGAATTTTTTATCAGGCAAAATATTGTTCTTTATCTAAACCAAATTTATCCTTTATCAGACCAAATTGCCTTGCCCAAAATAGATACAATTTTGTTCAAACCAAATGGATTTTTTTTTTTCAAACCAAATTGTCCTTTACCCGAACAAACTTGGTGTTTTTTCAAGCTAAATTGTACTTTTCTCAAATTTCATTAATTTTTTCCAAACCATGGTTTCTCTTATCAATCCAAATTACTTTTGCCAAAATAAAATTAATCTTTTTCAGACAAAATTGTCCTTTGCCCAAACCAAATGGGCTTTTTGTTAAACCAAAACTGCTATTCGCAATTGCATTATAGTTTCTCCAAGCCAAATTCCCACACCAATTGGATCTTTTTTCAGACCAAATGGTCTTTGAGCCAAACCAAATTCTACATACCTTTTCGCAAACCAAACTGTAGTATTTCTAACCTGGATTCATTTTGTAATACAATGTAAGATTTTTATTTGTATATTTAAAAATAAATAATTTCCAAATTTGGAATATTAGAATAGAGATTTGGAGATACTAAATTTTTTTCTATTTAAAAAAAAAATTGAAACAGTTTCAAATTGACTTTTATTCCCCCCTTTTCTTTCACAGTTTTGGAAATTATATATGTATTATTTTATAGGTTATAAAAAGATAATCAGCATGTAATATAGTGTGTAAACAGGTGTATTAACCCATATATCATTCTTCTTCTTTTTTTCAGACTTTCAAGGTGTCTTTTTGAACTCGCTTGGTATGCTGAAGCACAAGCATCGCTAAACAATTTCAAGCAAAGATTCCCGAACCATGCGAAAACAGTCGCATGTCAAGCACTGGAAAGAGACATTGCTACGAAATTAACTAAATCAGGTATGTTTATTTTAAAATTTTCCTCCTTGTTTTGCTTACAGACCAAGTTGGTTTCAGAAGAAAATTCTGAAAAGGATTCAGGAGAATTCGATTACGCTGAAATTAGCGAAAAAGAACTAGAATGGAGGGAAAGGGCAAATGATTACCAACTCAGATTTTATGGCCATTGCAATACAACTACTGATATTAAAGAAGCCAACTTTTTTGGAAGGTACAAACCGCAGAAGCACAATGTGGTGTGAAACCTTGAAAAAATTAATTTTGATTTCAGTGATGGCCAGTTCATTGTGGCCGGTTCTGATGATGGCTCCATATTTATATGGGATAGAAAAACAACAAATAACATTAGGATACTCAAAGGAGACTCTTCTATAGTCAATTGTCTTCAGCCTCATCCAACATACTGTTTATTAGCTACTTCTGGTATAGAACATGTCGTGAGATTGTGGAGTCCAAGACCTCAGGTTAGTCAATTAATAATAAGAGAAATGTTTAAACATTGAATATAATCTCGATAAAAATGTAGGAAAATGGGAATATCTAGATGTATCAGTTTATAATAAGGGACTGTGACTTAGTAATAGTAATTATGATGTACAGATATTTATTTTATTTGGATACCTTGTCTATACACTCAAAGACAAAAGAAATTAATAGTTGACTTAAAACATAAATACAAAACACATTAACATTTATAACTTGTTGTTTTGTCTGAGTGCATGTATTTATTAGCATGAATAGCGAAGGGTGAGGGTGAAATATAACATCATCATCGCCCCTCGAACGTTGAGAACGTATGAGTGTGTGTTCGGGGTCGATGGCGGAATATTTATAAAAGTACTCCATCAACCCCAATCTAGATTAGTTTGAGTATAGGTCGGTGGAGGAATATCAAGTACTCCACCAACCAAATGGAATGAGTGTATTGTATGGATGTATTTATGTGTATTAATGTATTTATTTGTATGAATGTAGTGTTTGAAAGTGTAAATAGAAATGATCTAGATGTCGGAAGCCCATCGAAAAAAAAACTTGTTGTTTACCTTCATAGTGTGATACTAATCCTTTTACACTCTTTAGATTAAAAATAAAGAAAATTATTTCCATTTCATCCTTCCCAAAGCCAACTTGTCGAGTGTGTTAATTGGTTTATTAAATTATTTTCTTTGTTGAAACAATACATTTTGGTAAACAAAATTTTTTTTCTTAAAATCATTTTAAGTTGAGAAGATCTGGTCCGGGGAGATGTTTTGGCCAATGATGGACATAACATCCATTACATAGCCAAAGTCCTGGGTGTGCCGTGCTCTACCATCCACAAGTGATCAAAGAGAAGGTAGTGATTCGATCACAATGTATGATGGCTAGAGATGATCATTTTGTTGTTCTTACTTTAACAGCTAGTCAACTCCAAATGGTCATTAATGTAAAGGTGAGCTATAAAAGTCATCAAAAGGCTTTGTGAGAATAGCCTGGTCTGGATCAGGTTTTCTACTATTAGAGAGGCATCGAGCAGAAAGATGACTATTCGCAAATCAGCATCTCGCTTGGACACTTGAACAATGGGTGAACAAGGAGTGTCCTCTTCACGGGTTGGTTTGTGGCACTCAAATGACCGGGGGGACCGTATGTGGAGAACACTTTTCTTCATATTCTGTGCGTGTGAACAAGCCTTTTCAAAGACAGTATGTGTAGGGTGGAATCACTGTCCATTCCCATACCTAACTGATTGTCATACAGAATGGATCTTTGACTGCATTAAGATATATTGAAGAGGTGCTTCTGGGGTGGTCCCATTCACTCCATTTAATTGGGATAATTTCATATTAATGCATGAGAATGTTCGACCACATGTAGCTCAAGTTGTCACACATTACTTGGAGGATTACTACAATGAATCCTATAGAACACTTATGGGATATGATAAAAAGGCAGGTTACCACATTCACCCCTGCATCCAGCATTCAACAGCTTCAAACTGCTCTTGTTGAAGAATGGGATTGTTTCACAAGACAAAATCCAATCGCTTATTTATTTGATGCCAAGGAGACGAGACATAAGGCTCTCCACGAGGCCAGAGGAAGTAATACATGTTATTAAGAACAAAACTTGGTAATAAATTGTTAGTTAATTTAAAAAAAAAACACTAAATGATATTCTAGTGTTTTGGTGAATTTTCTTTCCAACCATCATAATTAAATAATTTTTATTAAAAACTCATGAATTTTCTCTCGTTTAATGTAGTATGTTTTAATTAATGTAATGATTAAAAAAATTAGTTTGACATAAACAGCAAAATATGAGACTTTTTCTTGACTGTTTAAAGGAATATTAAAAATTAAATTTAAAAGTAAAGACCAGCTGCCTATTTTATTATAATAATTATTAAAATTATGCATTACTCTGAAAGTAGATCCAGAAAGATTTTTTTTTTCAGGATGGCCACGAAAATGATCTTGAAGTTAAGGAGAAAGACGAAGTCGCCTTAACAAATCAACGAAGGATGAAAGCAGACCCTTTTGATGTTGTCTTGATGAGTGTGGGACTTGTGAGACCCAATGAAGAAACAGAAGGAGGTGTGACATATAATTGCAGAACGAGTTAGCTGTCATATCAAAAAGTTTATCTCATTTTTATTCATTCATTTTTGTTTCCTTTTGTTTTCTTTATGTCTGTCTTTATTTTTGTTACCAATAAGGTCGTTTTATTTTTGTTTTAATCCACTGAAAGTTTTAAATTTGTCGCTTTTTACTCAGTCTCGATGTCAGCAGAAACTTGACAATATGTATTTTAAATTAAATCTATTGTAAAATGGAAATTGCAAAGTGTAAATATGAGAGGAAAAATAACAATTAACTAGGAGCTATCTAAATATCGAATAACATCATAAATATGAATTCAGAGCGTTTTTTTTTTTTTTTTTTTTTTTAATTCTGCTATGTTTTATTATTTTGAATTTACATTAGAAATTTTTGGGTGGAGTTTCTGGATTGGGTGGTTTTATTTATTAAGAATTGGTAGAGGAGAAGGCAATAAGGAAGTTGAAACTTCCTTACTGGTTGCAAGGTGAACCACAATCTATGTAGGCACTTATTTCAGTAGGCCAACCCAAGGCTCTTTTAATCCAATTTGTGATAACTGACACAAAATAATGTCTCCTTTACTCTTGGTGAGTTTTAATGTGGTTGTACATAATATGCTTCAATTTATGTTTATGTGCATATATATATGTACACATATATTTACATATATAAATATATAAACATTCTATCTGTATATGTGTGTGTGTATATATATATCAAACAATAATAATCAAATAATAATTTTTGTTATCGGATTTTTTTAAGTGCTTCATATAGCAAACCTTATGTTTATTTATTTTTCTTTTTTTCTTTTTTTCTTTTTGAAGATTCTATTCAGCACGATTTTGTGTGAAATTGGTGCGGATAATGTGATTTCATATGAAGATAACATGAATATGGTTGTGCCGAAAGAAGATTTTTGGGAAATTTTTCTGAAGGGAAAAGGACAGAAAGAACCTTCAAAAGAAACGCTTGGCCTCTCTCAAAAGAACAATTTGAAAAATAGATACCTAGTTGTTATAAAGGAAACGACCGCACCGATGACAACTGTTCCAACAACGACTACAACTAGCCTCTACAGGCCTGGAAAAATTCATGAAAGTCTTCTTGATCTTGTGGAAAAACGAGAACATTTCCATCACTCAGCTGTTGAAGGTTGGTACTTTTGATGGGAATCTCCCCGGGAAAAAGAAAAAAAAAAGTTTATATCCGGGGATATGGGCATCTTTAACACAGTAAAAGAACCAATTGATCAAATTCAGTTAAGGATGTTTGTTGTTCATCCTTCATGTGACCTTTGAATGATATTCCTAGTTGAAAAACATTGAGTTGTCTAAAATAGAACATTGTACCTCAATCAAAGAGACTTTTTTTAGAAGTATACAAATTTATTTTTAATAAAAATATTACAAATTAAATAATGTTTTTTAAAAACACCCTAACATCCAACTGATTCAACTTATGAAAACTGCGTTTTACTCAGTAGCAATTTTGTTTAAAAAAATTGTTTATTTTTATTTTGTTTGAATGTATGTTTTATGTTAGCATATTTGTGCTTTTATGAAATAACATGTGTATATTTTATTTTATTGTTCATAGTAAAAATCTTCTCAGTACTGAGGTGAAAAGAATTTAAATTGTAAGTTGCCCTTTGGGAAACTTACTTAAGCAGCTTGACTCACTTTGAAATTATAAAATTAGATCAGTGTGGCCAAATTGTAAATTGATCTTAAACGTCAGGCTTGAAAGAAAAAAACAATTCTTCTCGAATACCAGTTAAATCGAGTTTTGCACATTGCATAAATTAAAGCAAAACATTGGCTTAGAAAATAACGGGGAAATATATATAAAGTATAAGAGAAGTATAAAACGTCCTGGATTAACAAAAAGGCCAGTGTAAAGTATTTTTTTAAATTTTATTGATTATTGTTTTTGTTTTTTTTATCTTGGTTCAAATATTTTCTTTATCCTTTATGTAATATATTTGTTCCAAGATTTTTTTTTCTAATTAACAAATGGTAGCTCCTTGCTGAAATAACACAGCTTTAAAAAATTTAGCAATGAAGGTCATTTGGAATGAAGTTTTAATGGTGGATAGACAATGTAAGAATGTACATGTTTTTAAATATAACGATCCATAACAGAATTTATGACCAATGAATTTTGCCTAATCCTTCCAACTTAACCAGTGTTTGCCTTTTTCACTTTTTTCAAACAGTTTTGGTTTATAAAATTACATCATTTCTAAACAATATAGAGTCTGATATAATTAAACATTCATGATTTAACTAAGGAGCAATGTCCAGAGGGGAGTTCTGGTTTGGTGCAAGGATCTCAGGGAATAATATATCCAATTTTTCTGGAAAGATGTGAATGATGGCAATGACATGCATCTTTCAAGAAGTCATAAAATACAGGGAGGGATTCCTACGATGGAGTGCCTCTGGAGAGTCATGGAGCCTCCAGAAGTCGAAGGGACATGGTGGTGGCTTAGAGCAAATTCCAGAAAAAATAAGTCCTATATGTATTACAATATCATATCATTGAGTTGTCATAATGAAAATTGTTGTTTATCAAAAAATAATATTTATGAAAGGTATTGGTCGAGATATTTATTAAAAACTTAAGATTTGAGGGAATGACTAAACTCAACACAAATGAATTATTAGGTCTGAATGAAAAACATTTGTCGAGGATATCTCCAAGAAATTTTAAATTACTTCAAACATTACATGCTAGAATTATTATAAGTTTGTGTTTGATAAACGATTAAACAATGCAATCATAAAAACTGTCGAATGAAAGTCTGGTTATATTACATTACTACTGTTAATGGGGATTGTTGTATCTGAATGGCTAGGGTGTATTTGCCGACTTGTATTTGCCACACTAGTAGTTCTCAAATCCTAATGGTCCATGGTTTTTTTATTTGGTCATTGTATGAATAATTTATTGTTTAGTAGTATGAGCCTCTTCCTTGGAACCCAATAGGTAATTGGACGTTAAGCCCTCCAGTATGATAGGAATTACTTTACTTTACTATTACTGTTAATAGAAATTTACGGCTGCTGAAGCGACATGTTAGTGGCCTGATTTCAAAAGGAGGAAACTTTGAATGAATTGTGCATAGGTGGTTCAACAGATTTGAAAATGTTGGAACGTTAATAATGTCATTAATACCAGCAGTTCAAAAAATATTGATTTTATAAAATTTATGATAAATTTTATGAAAATTGTTCAAGTAAGTCAAAAGTAAAACCAACCCAATATCATGCTTATAAATTGCAATAACTGTCTGTCAGCGAGAGACACATTTTTACACCTGACCAGAATCCAAAAGTTCACTGTACAAAACTAAAGTTGGTGAATTAGCTGAGAAATTCTGTTTATAAAAGATATATAATAATTTATGCACAAACACAAATAAAAATGATATTAATTTAACTTGTTGAGCTAAGGGATTTTTTGTTTATAAACTTATGTTTTCCATATTTGCAAGAGAACAGTACTCATGCTGATTGACTGGGGAAGAGAAGTGTGAACGAAAATTGGGCGATGGTGGGAATCGAACCAACGATTATGGGGTCTGTGAGCTGAGAATCTAACAAGCTAACATTTCAGCTACTGTGGTTCTCACATCGTTTATGTGCAAATAATGTCAGTATTGTTGGCGGTGCTGGTCATGTGTACAAACGCGTATCTGTCTAAAATGTCATACAGTCATTTCTTAACACTAACATGCTCACTAACCTGTCTTTCGGTGGAGAGAGTTAATTTACAATTTGAAATCACCCCTGGAATAAAACCAGTTAAAATTAGAGAATGGGAGACTAAATTGATTTATATAAATGCAATTTATCCTTTCAAGGTAAGAATCCTCACCATAAAACAGCAATGATGAACTAGGTAAATCTTCACACAGTTTAACAAGAACTGAATTACTTCATGCTCTGTTTAAATATAACTTCACGGAAACAGAGAGGAGTTATCTGAAAAATTAAGAAAATAATCACATTGAGTTACATTGGTTTTAAATTAGTAGAGACTGATTAATTGGAGAGTAAATTGTAATGTTTGTATGCGCATGGGTGTTTTCTTTAATTTTTGATTGTATATTAGGTATTACATGAATTAAACATAATAAAAACAACATAATTACAAATTACAAAATATATTTATAATTTAAAAAAGTAAGTAATACTATGGTGCTGGGACTCTTTTCTTTTACGCTTATTATAATAATAAAATAGGCCGAAAGCTTGGCAGATATCAATTGAATTTGTTGTTTCACTCAGGCTGTACCAAGATCCAGATTATTCATGAGTAAAACAGTGGTCAATACATCTAACACTTTAAACAGTAATTTTCCTAGATGGGCACACATCAATCGCCTAATTTTTTTAAATGTGTTGGTGTGCATAATTGATATACACATGAATTAAAAGTCTGATAGTTATTAATTTATCAATGTAGATTTAATGTTAATATTATACTTTTATTATGGAATATATAAAATAGATTAATGAATGGTACGACCCATGAAAATTTCCATTTCATGCACTTGGTTTTTTCATAATTTTTTTCATATTATGAAGAATTTTTTATATTCATATTTATGCAAGAATTTACTAAAGTTAATTTAGAACAGTAACAAGTTACAACATAGAGGGATAGGGATAAAGAGGTGTCCACAAGGCTTTCTGCACTGGCCAGCTTCAGGTTGTTAATCAACATCCATAGCCTTCCCAGCAGCTCCTCTGTGTAAGATCTTGCTTGCAGCTTTTACTGAACTAGTTGGAAGAATCAGCACCTAGAAAGATCTTCACAGAAACATAAATTATGTCCTGCAGTCCTCTTTTTCCTGGCAGTATGTGCACTGTCTATACACTTCTCCAGTGCGTGGGCCTTCTTAGGTGGCAGTGCCCTATTAGGAGTCCAACCAGAATCATGGTTCGGTTGTGGCTGCCTACCAACAATTTCCTTGTAAGCTTTGCGGATGACTCTTCTATGATTCTCTTCATGTGCCTCATGCCTGTGGTTTATTCTACCAAACTTTGAATTCATTAAGGCTAGGCCACAGTAGGGTTCAGGACCGAGAGAGTTGGCTCCTTCTTTGGCCAACATGTCCACCTTTTCATGCCAGGATACTCCGAATACCCAGGGATACAATGTACAAGTAAATTAATTTTTTTTTAATAGATAGTCCTTACCCACAGCTTGTTGTTTTCATCAATCCGGATTTTAAGCATAAAGCATCATCTGATTGAAGGATTTACAACGTACCTCGACATGAAATGTAAGAGTGAACCGCCGATCACC